AAGAGTTGATTCCCCTCCTGTTTGTAGGCTCCCTTTAGGTACTGATTCACCTGAGCAGCACTGTTCCCATTAGCTCAAGATGAGGAAACTCAATTTAATAGCTTCACCTCAACAGAGAGCACTTTGCCATGGCCAGGGATTGTGGTCCTGAGTAGGTGGATGAAATTGCCTTGGACCCACAGCCGAACAGCCATGCAGCCTCACCTCTCTGCTTCTCGCCCTGCTGTGCTAAAATCTTTGTCATTACAAAAAAGCCCACGTTTTTGCTTTGTTGTTGATTAAGCCATCATAAATTAACGATGCAAAAAAGCCTTCCACGCTAACGAGCTTCTGGGAAGAATGAGAGCTGTAAAGGCATCTCTGAAGCAGGACTTCTGTTACACTTACAACCCGAACCACATGCAGAGCAGTGTTCTTCAGATCAGAGGCAGCCACTTTACATTTCCTCATGTCTTTGAGCACTGTCAGTGCCCCTTCTTCCTTCCAGCACTTTGATGGTGATATGATATCTTCGGGGATGTGCCAAACCGTACTGATTGTTGGCAATATTCTGATTTTCTCTGAACTTCATCTTCTATCACTGTGTCCCTATGGAATAAACAAGTCCAAGAAGACGTCTGGTTGTAAAATCAGAGGAACACAAACTTGGCCACACTGCTGGGGAATGGTCTGGCTAAGCCACCTTAATGGGGGAACTGGTGGGAACCCAAAGGTTCATCCCACACCATGAAACAGGCAATTGTCAGAGATGCTGAGGCTGTTTTGTGCTTCCCTGGCCTCAGTGTTTGTCCAAACCCTGGAGTTTCCAACCCCTCATCCATACTTGGATTCAGAAAGCCAAAAAACTGCTTTGGAGATGCCTGCATTGGCATGTAGCCCCTGCAGATCCATCAAACCTAATGAGATCCTCACTCCTCGCAGGCAGCACTGTCCAAAGCAATACCCCTGAGAGCTCTGTGCTCTGTAACTGTTCTTTTGCCACTGCCCAGGGACTGTGTGGGTCAGAGCTGCTGATGTGGATCTGAACCACCCTCACAAGTTAATAGCATCATCAGCCAAGCCCCAGTGACCAGCAGTGAGCTGTAAGGTCCATGCTTTGCACTGAGGATTCTGAATGCTTGTGCAGTCCCAGAAGGGCTCGGCTTCAGCAAAGGGCAAGAGGGAGAAACCCCTTTCAAAGCCTTCACTGCAGTGAGGCTCCTCAATTTTATCATCATTTGATCTCAGTTCTCCCTTGGGCACAGATTGCTGTGGCATCAACTTGTCCCTTCATCAGAGCTAATGAACCACGGAGGCTTTGTCTGGGGGCTGATGGCTCTCTCATAGACATTGCAAAAGAACCACGCTGGGCAGCAGTGGGGATGCAGGGACAAATGTTCCTGAGTCATTACACTGTGTATTTCAGGCCATCTCCGTACTAAGTAAACCCTGCACACTCTGCTTCAGCCTCCTTCATAAGAACAAGGCTCCCACAGCTGCTGGTTTGCCCAGGCTACGTTCAAATTCAATGCAAAAGGGCAGGACAAACCTGGAATACACTCCATGGAGTGACAGCTTGGGGAGAGGAGGTGGAGGTGGCATTTGTTTGCTCACTGATAGGAGGGATGAGCACACAGATTTCCATTCCAGCTTGATGGGTGCCTCTTCAGAGAGCCCACAGCACTTTGCCAGAGCTCAGGGAACACGTGCTTTCCTCTTAGATGTGCCTTTGGGAGGGTGCTCTGCCACCTGTTGCCAGCCCCCATGTCCCATCTTGGAGATCTTCAGTGCAAGGATGCAGGCACCAGCACTTGAAGGGAGCGTATAAACAGGAGGGAGATTGGCTGTTTATGAGGGTGGATGGTGATAGGACAAGGGGGAATGGTTTTAAACTGAGACAGGGGAGGTTTAGGTTGGATATTAGGAGGAAGTTTTTCCCCCAGAGGGTGGTGAGGCACTGGCACAGGTTGCCCAAGGAGGCTGTGGATGCCCCATCCCTGCAGGCATTCAAGGCCAGGCTGGATGTGGCTCTGGGCAGCCTGGGCTGCTGGTTGGTGACCTGCACACAGCAGGGGGTTGGAACCAGATAAAAACTGTACTCCTTTTCAACCCAGACCATTCTGTGATGCTATGATTCACCTGCAGGGAGATGGGACCACAGCATCCTTCTCTGGGCTTGGCTGGGATGGGGGCTTGTCACCTGGAGAGATGCTCGTGGACCTTCCGTGTCTCTATGGGGAGACCCCTGAAGCCATGCCAGGGGCTGGGATGGAAACCAGGTGGTATCAAAGTATCCCAGGCCCCCAGGGGAATGTCCCAGCCCAGCACCCAGCAGCACTCTGTTTGTGGAAATGCTCCAAGGCTTTTTTGGAAGCTGTGTAGCATCCTGGTTCCCTCCACCTACCTACAGAACAAGCCCAGAACTGTCAGACAAGAGACAGGAAACTGCGACTTATCTGATTTGATTTTATTTCACTTCTTTCTTTTTTTTTTTAACTTTTTTTTTTTGTTTTTTTGGGGGTGGGGGGGGTCCTCTCAGAAAAGTGCTCCATCTGGATTGAGGCTACAACTTGAGTAATGCCTCCCTGCCTCAAAAAAAAAAAAAGAAGAAAAAAAAAAGGTGGTTGCCATGCCAACCTGACTCTGCGCTTCATTACCATGGCAATTGGCAGGAATTATTAAATACTCTGTATGTTTGGTGCACGCGCTCTGGTACATCTGGTGCCAGGTAGGGATCCTCCCTCCCCTTAATCTGTTTGTCTGTCTCATCTCGCTTAACTCTTTCACTGCCCCCAAGCTGAGCTGCTGGGGCAGGGCTGGGAGCTGCTTTGGGTTTCTTGCACCCGCAGGCAGGATGGGATGGCCAGGGCTGCTGGTTGTCACCAGTGGGTCAAGGCATCTCTTCGTTTCTCCAATGGTGCAAACAGGTGGAGGCTTGCTGTTTGCAGGAGGAAATTCTCTCACACCTGCCTTCTTCTGATGGTTGTGTAGAAATAAGTAATTCCAGCTGGAACAGAGTCCCCACGGTGGGGATTGCTCCTGGAGAAGGACCACGAAGGTCCAGAGCAGATTGCTTGAGGATGGTGCCATTAGCAGGACTGCTTAATCGCCCATGCACTGCCATTGTGGCTTTCCAGTACTTGAAGGGAGCATATAAACAGGAGAGGGAACAGCTATTTATGTGAGTGGATGGTGATAGGACAAGGGGAATGGTTTTAAAGTGAGACAGGGGAGGTTTAGGTTGGATATTAGGAGGAATTTTTTCCCCCAGAGGGTGGTGAGGCACTGGAACCCAAGGAGGCTGTGGATGCCCCATCCCTGCAGGCATTCAAGGCCAGGCTGGATGTGGCTCTGGGCAGCTTGGGCTGCTGGTTGGTGACCTGCACACAGCAGGGGGTTGGAACCAGATGATCATTGTGCTCCTTTTCAACCCAGGCCATTCTATGATTCTATGATAAAACCCAGATTGTTCTCATCAAAACGATGGCAACCAGGAGAGCATGTGGCTCAGCTCTCCACTCCCACTGGTCAGTGTGGCTGTGGATTGTGTGGTAGCTTTATCACCATGAGATGAGCTTAAATGATTCCCAATGTCTGATCCTCACTCTGCCCCCGATGTGCTGGTCCCCTCTCTCTGCTCTCCCCTGCACAGTACAGCCAGCACTGTCTTTCAGTCCCACTTGCACAGCTCCTGGCAAACCAGTGACGTTCTGGCAGCTAATGAACTGTTAAAGAAAAAATAGCAAAATAATGTTAAAATGTTCCTCTCTCAAGCAGATACAAAAATAATTTTAAAAAAAAACTTGCTTAAAAATTTCGTAGGAGTCAATACCCACTCACAAGCTTCAGCTAAATGGGTGGGCAGGGGGTGGGATGAGGAAGAAGGGCTATTTGTGGGCTGCAAGAGCCACTGTGGGCTGCCATCCTTATGCAAGCCCTGGAGCAAGCACCTCACTGTCTGGGTGTCTCCTACCTTCTTGTTTTCTCATTGCTGACATCAGTCCTCCAGAATCCCCAAATATTTCTTCCTCTTTATGGAGCAATCATCTTTGTATTGGGAATCTCAAGGTAAGGGGATTTGCTCACAGATGCTTTCAACTCACCGTAAGCAAGACAGAACCTCAGCCACACTGTGGGGACATGTGCTGTGGGGTATGGTTGGACTTGGTGACCTCAGTGGTCTCTTCCAATCTTTCTGATTCTATGAGGATGGTAATGAGGATGGTGCCCAGCAGTGCTCCACTCTGCAGACCCTCTTCTGTTGGTTCCCACCAGCTGGTTGAGTAGACATAGCCCTTATGGTCAAGAAAGAGCCATGAGGATGAATAAACCAACATAGATTTGGGCTCATCCCCTGGGATTCAAAGGGAAGATCTCCCCTCTTGGTGGGGCTTTGCTCCTCCACCTCCTGCTCCTGTGACCCTCAGGGGGGTTGGACTCGATGATCTCTGGAGGTCCCTTCCAACCCCTACAATTCTGTGATTCTGTGACCCTACAAAATCTGGTCCTGCTGCCACTTTGCCTCTGCACATTGAGAGCAATCAGTGACAGCATTGCGTTCATCTCGCTCTGTGCCCCACCAATACCTCATGGAAACCTTGAGGAAGGTGCTCAGCAAACACTGATTAATTACAAACCCTGCCATAATCCTGCTCCTGCAACTGGGAAAGGCAGAGAGTTGTCCTTCTGGATTCACATCCACGTCCATCAAATCAGCAGCTCCTGCTGGACCTGGGGGTGCTTTCCCACTACAGCTGCAGACCCAGCAGGGATCTTGTTGGCACAACAAAACTCACATTATTTCCATCTCACACCCACAGACAGGGCTGTAATTCCATCACAGAACAAAGGCTGGGAGTCTTCCTCCTCTCACACAATTTAGCTCTGGCAGCTCATCAGGATCAGAGGAGAAGGAGATTTCAATCAGAGTCAGAAATGATGCTTTGCAAGATGTGTTCGGCGCGTCCTTACGCACCTCTGTGTTTTGATGCCGTGCAGGTATTTGACACACACACACAGAGCACATCGTTCCTGTCAAATTTATTTGCTCAGGAAAAGGATATTTGCCTTTGGAAAACAAAAAGCATGTTAGTTTCTGCTTGAAATAACAGCCTTTAATTGGAGTTCAGCTGGAAGGTGGGACAGTTATATTTAACCTCTGGAACTGGGGTTGAAATACCTGAGCTCTGCACACAGAAGGAAAGAAAATGAAGACAACATCAAATTCTTTTGAAACAGGTTCTTATTTTTCTTTTTTTCTTTTTTTTCCCCTTTTTCTCCCTGGCTGTTCACCAGTTCTCAAAAAAAAAGCTACAAAAACCTCAAAGACCGTAACAACGCAGCACTTGGGGAGGAAAAAATAGCCATTACGTACAAAACAAACATGCTTTTTTGGGGTGGACGGAGTGGTTTTGGTGTTTATGGGGGTTTTCTTTTCTTCCTCTGGCACAGTGTGAAAGAGCAAATCTTCATTTTATTTGACAGGACAGTTCAGAAATCGAGGAGGAACATGCTCTCCCTGTTACAAAACCACCCAGCGGTGCATGCTTGAGGTCCAGAACACAACAGATTGACACGTTTCACAGCATGCAGACTTTGCTGTCCGACCCACACGGCCCTTCCCTTCCCCTACCCCATGGACAAAGATGTGCTCTATGCCATGCACTCCACTTCCCTCATCGTTTCTTTCCATTCCGTAGTGAGTTCGCTTCTTTATTTTTTTTCTCATTTTCTTCACTTTTTATTTTTTTTAGCCCTAAATCCCAAGAGGCAGTATCCAAGGTAACAGCAGGCAAGAGTCCAGATCTGCACATTATCACCATTTCTGCAAGTTTCATGCAAAACTTAAGCCATTTCTGCATGCAACACGATGCTGGTCGTTGCGCTTCACGCAGCGCGGGGGACATCTCCCCATTCACCACGATGGAGTTTGCTCACTGGGAAGCACTGATTTGTTTTCCCATGGACACAGACACACGAAAAGACATCATCCCCCCTTCCCCACTCCCCCCAGCCGCCCCATACACATGGATACGTGCATCTCAGCACCAGCTCCAGCCACTTGCATACACTTGCCCCATGGCATCAGTAGAGCCCCATGATCGCGGCTCCCACGTCCTTGGAAGGTCTTCGGTCCTTCACCAAAAAGTTAATCATGCTCTCCGACTTGATGAGCAAATTGCAGCCCAAAAAGAAGATGCCAAACACCACAGTCAAGGAGAGGACACAGAGGACGGCGATCTGCACCACGCGTGTGATGTACAGGCTGCGCTCGTCGGGTGCCAGCACCGAGGAGCCACCGTCGGGTGCCAGCACCGAGCCGGTCCCATTGCAGCAGGCCAGGAGCAGTCCCAAACCCCGGGTCCTGTTGGGGTATGCTCCTTGCTCCAGGAGGCTCTGGTTGAAGAAGGATCCATTCATGGTCTACGCGAGGTCCCAACCGCTGGAGGAAGGTGGGATGGAGCTGGCGGTTCCCCCTGCTGCGTTCACATCCCGTGGGTTCCTCTGTGCCACCTCCTGCCTGTCTGCTCCCGACGTCTGGGCTGGAAGGGAAGGAAAGATGTGCAGAGAGGGGCGGCGGGCTGCCAGCTGCCACCAGCAGCTCAGCACGGTCACCCGAGCACGGAGAGGGAAGGAGAAGGGGGCAAGGGGCAGAGGAAGGCAGCAGGAGGCGGCCTCATGCTCCCTGCCCTGCTGCCACCCCGAAGCAATGGGGACCCTCAGCAGGAACAGAGAGCAGACGCCTGTTAGCTGGGAGCTCCACGGATGCAAGTTCCCAGCTCAAGTCTTCCCCGTGTTCAAAGAAAAACCAGCAACTCCACCCCCTTGCAGCCTCCCCCCAGGACCGCCTTCCTCCCCCCTCCAAGCTCACCCAGGCTGCCCACCCCTTCCCCATGCTGCTGCAGCCCCTCACCCTGCTATGGGGACCCACACCCTCGTCTGTGCTACCCCCTGACTGTGCGCTGACCCCTGAGGTCCTGCCCTAACTCATCCTCTCCCCTAGACCTCCACCTGCTTCCCAGAGCAGCCCACCACATCAGTGTTGGGCCTGGGTCACCGGCAGCTCCCCTGTTCCCCCCATGCACCCTCCTGTGAGCCTCAGGTCCATGCTGCTCTCACCGATCCCTGCTTGCTGCTCTGTGCCACCCACTCCTTCCTTAGAGCAGCGCTGGCCCAATCCAGCCCCGTCCACCCCCAGCTCTGCTCTGCTTTTCTGTCCTAAATTGACAACCAGATCATCATCCTCTGACTGGGGGGTGTTTACACCCAGGCGCCTCCATCTCCCCCTTCCTGTGCTCCTTTATCCCCATCAGAAGGGAGCACAGTGATGCTGCACCCTGATCTCTGCATCCCACCCCCATTCCCAGCTCAGGGTCCTACAGCATCAGCAGCCATGGTCCGTGCACCGTGTGTGGGTGCAGATGCGTTTGGGTGGACAAGAGATATGACACGGGGATTCTGTGCTCTGATTGATCTGTGTACGTCTCAGCTCGCTTTGCTTGCACAGCCCCCAGAGGGGATTTTCATAAACCCAAATGAGAATTGATAAATTGCAGCTAAAGGCACAAGCAGGAGGCCGGCTGGCTGGGGCTGGAGGGTGGCTTGATAGGAACATGCCAATGATTTCGCTATTAAACAAATGAGAGACGAGTCCCTATTTTGCTTTTGTGGCTTTTAGGGGCACAAAGCAGCTTGCTTTGATTTTTACTTGTTGCTTTTTCCTCCTGGTGGCACTGCTCTCCCTGCTCCATAGGGGCATTTTGCAGCAGAAGGAATGAAGCAGGAAGCCTGGATGGGACAAGGGGACAAAACCCCCTGCACTCAACCCCAGAGCCAGGAAAAATCCCCCTGGGAGAGCAGAGCATCCCAGCTCCTTTCCCTGCTGCCTCTGGGCTGGAGGAGTTTCTGCTCCCTCTGCTGGCTCCAGTTCCAGCTCCAACCTGTTCTGTACTCTGGAACTGGGCACTGCAGCATCACACTGGGATCACAGCCACCCCTGGGGACATAGGGGCATGGGGACACTTGGCTCTTGGCTGCTCTTCACCTTAATCCCAAGCAGGGCTTCACAACGCAGAGCATCCCACAACTGATTCCCCCCAACTCAGTTTTTGTCCAACTCTCCAGGCAGCACCCAACCCCCAGAAAGCAGCAATGAAAGCCCACGCTCTGCCCAGTGCCTCCCAATCTCATGTGCCCCACATCTCCATCACAGCAGTGCTTGCAGGACAAGCAGAACCTTCCTGCACCAGCCAGGAAAGGGTTCAAGGAGTCAAATACAAAATTTTGTATCATTTTCCTTCTTTTTAGAAGAATCAGATCCCCATTTCTGAATTTTTGGAAGCACGAGCTGGAGTATGCCACTCTCTTTGCAAAAAGGGACTCTCTGTGTCCCTTTGCTAGGCCAGGCACCCAGCTGCCTGGCAGGATGGGACACCAAGAACCATGGGGATGCAGCACTGAGGCACACAGTCAGTGGGCACACTGGGGGTGGGTTTGGTTTGGGGATCTGAAAGGTTCATCCCAATTTTCACAATTCTATGACCCTAAGAGAACCTGAGGGACTGACAACTTGGTCCACTGAAGCACAGATTCAGGTTGGGCAAAGAATGGTTTGAGAGCAGCCCTGAGGAGAAGGATTTGGGGTGTTGGTTGATGAAAGACTCGATATGAGCTGGCAATCTGTGCTTGCAGCCCAGAAGGCCAACCATGGGTTGTATCAAGATCAGTATGACCAGCAGGGTGAGGGAGGTGATTCTGCCCCTCTGCTCTGCTCTCATGAGACCCCACCTGAACTACTGCATCGTTTTAGAGCTCACAGCACAAGAAGGACATGTTGGAGTTACTGAAGAGGGTCCAGAGGAGGGCCACAAAGATGATCAGAGGGATGGAGCCTGTCCACTATGAGGACAACTGAGAGAGTTGGGGCTCTATGAGAAAGTTTTTGTCCAGCTCTCCAGGCAGCACCCAACCCCCAGAAAGCAGCAATGAAAGCCCACGCTCTGCCCAGTGCCTCCCAGTCTCATGTGCCCCACATCTCCATCACAGCAGTGCTTGCAGGACAAGCAGAACCTTCCTGCACCAGCCAGGAAAGGGTCTATAGCCCTTCAAGTACCTGAGGAAAGCTGGGTTGGGACCCTTTAGAAGGGCAGGTAGTGATGGGACAAGGGGAAGTGGTTTTAAGCTGGAAGAGGGGAGATTCAGACTAAATATTAGAAAGAAATCCTTTGCTGTGAGGGCAGAGAGACATTGGAACAGTGATGTTGTGGATGCCCCTCCCTGGAGGTGTTCAAGGCCAGGCTGGATGAGGCTGTGAGCAACGCAGTTTCAGTTGAAAAGCAGCACTTTGTCAACACGAGTGAGGATCGATGGGCTTCTCTGCGCCCCTCCATAGCAAATCCACGCCAAGGAAGCAGAGGGGAGATCCCAGGAGAATTTCCCCATAGAGCAAAGCCCCGGCTGCCGCCGGAGGGCAGCAGCACCGCAGGGCGGGAGGAGGATTTCGGGGGGGGGGGGGGGGGCAGAAGAGAAAACGTTGAGAAATTTCTTTTTTGGCCAAGAAAAGTGCTGCTCCTGTAGCAGAGAAAGCCTCGGTCCCTGTGTTATCTCCTTTGAGGGTCCGGGCAGATGCAATGAGCCCTGTGCACGCACAGCGGGGTGGGGTTGTGCGGATCTGTGCCTGCCGGCTGTGAGAGAAAACCAGCACAAGCAGCAGAGAATCAGCTCCAAATCATGCAGCCCAGTCTGAATTTCCCTCCTTTCGTGATGTCGGGTTTGTACCCGTCCTTCTGCACAGCTCCGGGACCGTTCCAGCAGCGATTTTCCCACCTGAAAGGCTGCTGAGAAGCCCCACTCTCATTGCAATACGCATGTGCTCTGTTTCCCCTTAAATCCTCACGCTCTGAAGCAGCTCAGCCTCAGCAAGTTTAAAACCCGCGCGGCCGAAAGGGTTAACGAACGGAGGGAGTGAGCGAGCTTTCGCAAGCAGTTAAACCCAGCAGAAGAGCCTATGGGAACAAGCCAGTTACAGGGGGTCAGCAGCGCCCTGCACTTTGTGCCCAGGTTCCTTGAGTCCTTTTAGGAGCCGAGAGAGGGAATAAGCGGCAGGAGCTCCGGGGGGCAGGACGGGAGGAGGCACTGCCCGACTCCAATTCGAGTGACGAAGCAGCGTAGCGTAGCTTCCTCCGGCCGGCCCGCTCCGTGTGTATGTGTGTCACACACACCCAGCGCATGATTCATCCCTTGGACGGCTCAAAACCATCCCAAAATCGCACGGCGGGGCCATCCCACACCCCTACAGCCGGGGTTCGGAGGAGATGGAGGAACTCCGTGTCGCTTTCAGCATCCTGGTGCTCTGCGCTGCTGGCAGCTGGGGTAGGTGTGGGGCTGGAATGCTGGGTTTGCCCTGACGTTTGCATGCAGTGCTTGGGTTGCATGCTGTCATCCCTAAACTCTGGGATTCTCTTCTTTCCCACGCTGTTGGGAAAGTCGTTCAGAGGGGCAGTGGGCAGAGAGCGACCTCAGCACAGCTCCCCTATTCTGAATTTCCCTAATTTTCGGGGCTCCCTGCTTTGTTCTCACTTTGGGCAGAGTGATCTCAGCCCCTCTACCTATGCAGTGCTTGGCTGTGGGGCTGGTTTGTAGAGGGAGCCTTGGGGTGGGCTCTGCCAGCAGGCAGTAATGGCAGCACGCAGGGCCAGCAGTTCCATATCCATCTCATTTCGAGGGTCAGCATTGATGTATCACGTCCATTTTTTCTCCTGTTCTTTTGGTGCTGGTCTTTCAAAGCCCCAGTTTCTGGCACCAGAACAAACACAGTTTGCTTTGTTCAGAACTTTCCATGCGTTGTGAAGGAGCAGCCCAAGGAAGGGAATGTCCTCCCCAGGTGCGTTCCTGAGCTCAAAGCTTCCAGAAAAGCAAATCCTGCAGCCACAAAGGGGTGTTGTTCAGCTCCCGGGTTGTAAGTCAGCCCCATTGTTTTAGAGACCCGACCCGAGGGGATTTGGGTCAGTGTTATTTTGGTTAAAGAATGCTGGATTCGGTGAGTTCCCAGGAACAGCCCGAGGCTGGGATGTGCTGAGCCAGCTGTATGGGTGCGCTCAGCCCTGGGGGAGTCTGAGTTTGTAGGGCTGCACTTTTGGGGCTGTGTATTTATCCCGTCCCATAACCAGCCTGGGGCATCTCCTCTGCAGGAAGATGCTGGTAAATGAGGAAATATTCCAAGAAATGACGTAGCCCTGGATGGAGTGAGCAGGAGCGGCCAAAAAAAGCCAAGCTCCCTATTGCTTAGTCAAGCAGAAAACCCAGAGATGATGTCAAAACAGCTTGTATCTTTACCAAGTTTTCTAAAGCATCCTTATCAAGATTTCTGCATATTAGCAGGGGGAAAAGCTGGCTCACACAGCACATGGGGTGTAGGCTGAGGTCTGAGTAATTTTTCCCAGTCAGGGAAGGGGGATGCTCAGCCACAGACGTGGGTCGGGGCATTCCAAGTGCATCACTTGGAGTGTGCTGTCTGAACACTCCTTGGCCCCGATGGTGCTTCCCATACTGCTCGTGTCAGCACCCCATGTTCCATGTGTTGGGATTTTTATTTTATTTTATTTTTTTATTTGAAGGCCTGAATAATTAGGAGCAGCTCGTTACAGGAGGCCAGCTGTTTTCGTAGTAATGAAAACAAATAAATACAGCTTTTGTGCTTTGCTTGGTTCGTTTTTATGGCTGGAAAAGAAAAAAGAAAAACAAAAAGAACACAAGACCTAAAAATGAATGGGAAAAAAAATAAATCAGTTGCACAGAGTTTATTAGTTTAGGCTGTG